CGCTGGCTTAACTTTTTGAGCTACTCGCTTGTGTCGCTTGGGGAGCCCCCCATAGGGGGCCGTGCCCTTAAAAAAGACACGGATACCACACCGCCTAATTCCTCATCTTTTCCCTTTGGGTACGAGTTGCCGTCCACTATTAGCCGGCTTCCTAAATCTTCTACCTCCACCATCCTTTCTTCTTCCTCTGTGAGCAGTGGTCCATATCTCTTCTCGCGAAATCGCACCGCGCGGCCGGAGATGGGTAAAGACTTAATCTGATCACTGGGTCTTGCACCCACAGCGAGAGCTGCTCTGTTCCTCGGGTCCCGAGGCTCCACTGTCTCAATCATTACCCGCGTCCTGTCTGGCTTCTTAATGGATAATGTTTGACTCCCATCAGATCGCTCTATCGTCACCGCATGCACGTGGCTCAACCACATTCGACCCAAGAGCAGGTCGGAGCTGCAGTTTTCGACTGCAAAGACAGGCAGGGTCACTCGTACCCCTTGGACCTCTATGGCTGCCTTGTGACAAACCCCAGTGATTTGTTGCTTTCTCCCATCAGCCGTCTCTATCTCGAATAGGTATGTCCTATCGAAGCCCAGTCCAACTTGTACCGCCAGGTCCTCGTCTATGATGACAGCCTCACTGCCGTTATCAATCACAGCATCGAGTACCGCTCCATCGTTTATAATCGTCTCTACGGCCCCGCTACCAAGTATATAAAACTTGTCTGGAGGCACACCTTCCATCCCATCGAGAAGGACTGTCGCCATGCGATCCGCTCTGGCTGTCACCCCCGTTACCGCTACTGTAGAAGCTTCCGCTTTAGGGGCTCCCTGACCCTCCTCTGATAGAGGTATGCGAGTCTTCCGCGTGATCATCTGTAATTCATCACGAGCCGGCTTCGATGCCGCCAGGTACTCCAGAATAGAACACTGCATTGGTTGCCGAAGGGCCCGCCTCAGTGGCTCAACCGTGTCAATCTCGTCCAACAAACTCTTCATCAAGAGCTTCTTGACTCCCCGCTTTCGCGGCGAAAGGATAACCTCTTCTCCATCGACCCGCTGCCCGTCCGTCTCCGCCATCACGTAATCCATGTCTGTTTTCTTTGATGTAGACCCTCTGGCTGACTTGGTGGTTTCCACCCTTATGGGTGTGGTCGCGATATCCCCTTCAAAGATTATCTTGATGCTCTGGCTCCTGACCGGCTCCACTCCTTTACTCGTCTTTATTCTCCTTGATTCGACGTTCTCCTTCATCGAAGGAAACATTAATACATCTCCCAGATCATCTGCCCATTTGACGTATATGCGGTCGTCAAGCACGACAAGTCCCTCATCTATTGCCCGTTTGAGGTCCGGGCAATCCCTCTTGATATGATCTTCTCCTCTACATTAGACGCATGAGTTCCTGGGAGTAGACGCCCTGTCATCTGCGCCGCGAGACATCGAATTCCTGGCCGCCTTGGGGTCAGGCGACTTTGGATATGATTCTGATGAGACACCATATCCCCCTCTCTCATTCCGACTGCGCGAATCGTTGCGCCGGTCTCCTCCAGACCCTCCTTGCTCATACTGCCCTCGCGAGTCATTCCGGCGGTCCCCCGCGTCATAGCGTCCTCGTGACTCATCGCGTCGATCCCCTCGAATGTACCATCCTCGCGTCTCGTCACGCTGCTCTCTCGCATCTCCCCCGCGCTCAGACCGTCCGCGTAACCCATCTTGTCGTTCCCAGTCCCGATCTCCTCTCTCATATCTACTTCCTCTACAGCCATCTCGACCCGACCTCTCGTATCTGTCGTCCCTATATCCATCCCGGTCCGATCTCTCGTATCTGCCGTCCCTCTCCCATCGGCCGCAAGAGTCGCCTCTACCCCGATCGGCCTCATAGCGAGGGCTTCGGGGGTAATCATCTAGCCTCCTTGCTCGCACAAACAGCTCGCGATCTCTGCGGTCTTGGTCTATCTCATCGTCCCTACGTCGCCATAATTCATCGTCTCTCTCTCTTCCCCTCGTACAATAATCAATCAGCGTCCGAGGATTTCTATCCTCGACACTCCTCCAGGGATCGTTGTTCCTACGGTAAAATCACTAATTCCTCTTAATTTCCCCCTCTTTTCCTGTCTGTTGGCAGTCACCACTCGTTCTAACGGAGTCCGTTTTCCCCGACTAAGGTCTCAAAATGTCGGGACAAATACAAGGACCAACTTTGGTCCACGCGAGGTTCACCTAATTTCGCTTTTGTTCTTCGTAATTAAAATAAAAGGAAATTCATGATTTTCAGAATTTTAATTAGAAAAAAATAAAAAAATTCATATCTCCTTTCCTAGCCATTAAAATTTTTCAAAAAATGACTCAAAACGTTCCCCTCGACGAGAGGTCGAACTTTGCTCCCGGTGCGCCTCGCGCAAAAACGCGCGGATCAGGAGATATCGAAAAAAAACGAATTAAATATTTAAACTCATAATTTTTAGGATTTTTAATTAGAAAATACAAAACAATCCATATCTCTTTTTCTAGCCGTAAGAATTTCTCAAAAAATGTCTCAAAACGTTCGCCTCGACGAGAGGTCGAACTTTGCTCCTGTGCGCCTCGCGCAAAAAGGCGCAGATCGGGAGATATCGAAAAAAAACGAATTAAATATTTAAACGCATGATTTTTAGGATTTTTAATTAGAAAATACAAAAAATTCCATATCTTTTTTTCTAGCCATTAGAATTTCTCAAAAAACGTCTCAAAATGTTCGCCTCAACAAGAGGTCGAGCAGGTGCGCCTCGCGCAAAAACGCGCGAATCGGGAGATATCGAAAAAAAAACAAATTCAAAAAAATATCAAAAAATAAAACTAATCAAGGAAATGAGCTAATTAGTGCTTGAACTCATCAGCCCGTGCACCCCCCGTTGATCGGGGAAGGCCGCGGCCTTGGGGGTGCAATCCCCTCCCCGGCAACGGCGCCAAAGTTGTTAAGGAAACCCGGGGAGGGGCGCCCGCTTGTCGCTGAAGCCAAGGGCAACGACGCCTGTCACTCGCCGCGCCCGCGTCTGAGGTCCTCAGCGACCAGCAGGGATCGAGTTTGAGATTGGCTGTCATGCACCGTTAGCAAGTTCCTGCAACAGTGAGTTTTAACAGTCAATTAGTGAACCAGCTTGGTCACACAGCGATGAGTCAAGTCCATATGGCACCGAGTTTTAACTTAAACCGACAAATAGTGAACACGTCAGATTATACAGTAATGAATCAAGTTCCCACAACAGCGAACTTTAACTTAAACAGTCAACTAGCGATCCCGCTAGATTACACATCAATGAGCCGAGTTCACACACCAATGGGTCTCAACAGTCAA